TCCCGTTTTACCCCTGGATGGGGAAATCATTGAGGGAGTCCTGTTAAGTAGTGGACGTCCTATGGCTAACACGATGTGACGTCACATCGTGTTAATGTGTACGAGCCCTAACAGAGCCTGCCCCTTATAATTTCCTCAAATGCACGTCTTGGCTTAAGCCTCCCTATAATTTCGCAGTGTAGGGCCGAGATTTGAGAGCGAGTGCGAGCAATTAGAAATTCTATAGCTATGTATAATAGGAGGGAATTTACCATGTCACCATGTCAGAAACATATCAAGTTTCGTTGTGTGCTGAAATGGGTAGAAGATTCAGTGTTTCTGGTGCCACTCTCATTTGGTTTTAATGCTGAAAGCAGTCCCATCTACTAATATTATTAAAGTTAAATAACATGACGTGTAATTATAAATTAAAGAGCATTTTTTTGTTATTAAGTATAATTATGACGTCACTAATTTACACAGTTATTTAACTCACAAATATTTCTCTTAAAAGCCGTTAACAGCAGATTACTTGAGCATTTGTTAAACATATTGAGTACCTAAATAAAATTCCATAGACAGTTTTTTGTAACTAAATCACGTTTTTCGTTTGTTTTTACTGAATTACCATAAATTAGCATGAAACGTGAGGATGTTTATTTTAATAGAGATTTTAACGTCAGAAAATTTATTGTGAGTTGGGTAAATGGAATGGAATAAATGAATGACGTCAGAAGTCAAATCGTTGAATAAAAGGGATTTAGGCAGAATCAACCATTGATATTTAGGCTCACATTAAACGATGACAAGATATAATATGTTTTTTCTGAAAGTTTTTTAAATGTTTGAACGCAAACAGTTATTAAAAGTAATTTAAAATGATAGTTTGAATTCATCATCATCATCATCATCAACAGCCCTTTACAGTCCACCGCTGGACTATGAGCCTCCTTCACTATAGTGGAGGCTTCTGCCATAATCCCCACGCTTGGCAGGCGGGTTGGAGATCGCAGTTTAAAAGATTCATGTTTTTCAGAGAGCGCTGCTGTCCGTTCTCTGTTTGATGTTTCTTCGTTTGAATTCGATAATCGTCAATGGGGGGCTTTGTTTAGTAGTGGATGTTTTTTAACTGAAATGATGATGATCATGAAACACACTTTCCACAGGAGCTGACTCTGGCTTTATAACATACTCTGTTGAAAAACAAAAATAATTTATAACGATCACAGTCATGTGTTGTTTTGAAAAAAACCGGAACTCTACACGTGCCTACTCGTATAATGTGGTAAGTACTTATATTATTTTTGACTTGTTTGTTATTGAGGTAGGTTTCAAATGAACATAGTTGTAAGTAGCTCGTGCGATAGAAGACCCGCACTTCTAGTCTAGTCATTTTTGCACTACGAATAGTTCGAATCGTAAATGTATATTAGTTGTAAGTATAAGACCCATGTCTTTAGTCATTTCTGACCACGTGTGATTCGTATTACACGGTGTGAATCGTCCTAGTCCAAATCGACTCTTATGGTACTAATGATTCCTTAAACCATCCGTCCAGAAGTGATTTTCATCAATATCTTTTATTTAATAACGTCTTGTCTTAGGCGGGTGCTCAAAGTGGAATATATCACAGCTCGTTAGTACGGTGCGAAAAGTCCTATTCAATCAATAGCTCTTGGTCAATTCGCACCGCACATCACTCGTGGTGCGCAATGACTAAAGACGCAAAATTACTGTAACTCCCTTATTAATGAAAGTTACACCCTGGTTTAACTCTAGCTTGAGTTGTCATTTAGTATGGAAATGTCATTTTAGTCCTGTGTTCATCCTAAGTGTAACTTTTTATTAAAAAGGGGGTAGGTGTAAATGTGTCTCAAAACCCGCTGTTAATGTATAAGCGACAATAGCTGAACGGCACAGGTGTCGGACTGACTCAATCGAGATCCGAGGATCGCTGGTTTGAACCCCGCCGCTGGACTATTGTGGTAACACAAGCATATGTGCCACTTGTGGTCTAAACTGAATAAATATTTTTGATTTTGATTTTTGATTTTGATATTTTGCTTAGTATAAGGGGTTAACGTTTAAATATGGCAAAACTAAGGCACTTAGCCTTAGTCGCCCATCTTATTTTAACTTTATCAAACGTTAAAAGCCTGTCAAACACCACACATTAAGCACCGATTATTGATAAAGTTACGGTAAAAGTAAGATGGCAAATCAGCCCAAGTGCACTCATAGAGACGCAAAAAGGTTTTTCCACTTTTTACTTTTACACGTTTTATGAATAAGAGCGTAAATCTTTCTCGTCATGAAACACATCTATCACAATTATTTGTTGACACATACGAACGACGGTACATCAAGCTTTGCACTGTAGCATCCTATGGGACTGTAATAGGAGCTATTTTTCAAGGAAAATGTATAGTCGGATATGCTTTCAGCTACTAGGGAAACGTCAGTCTCTAGCTTAAGTGCTAATTTGATTATACCTAAATGTGTTATATTTTTACGTGACTTTCTGTTGACTGATACAATGATTACTTCGTTTGCTGCTAGTGATGTCACAATTTGGTCACCGTTTTTAAATTGACACACTTTTATGAGCTGTCAAGAAGATTCACCTTAGATTTTGTATGGAAAAAAGTAATGACGTCACTTTTTTACGACCTCGTATTAGCATATAAACTCAATTAAGTAACTTTTATTGACGTCAAGACTAATTAGCATGTATTTTTTACCATTTACTTTGAAATTTTCAAATTCCAATTATTTTCGAAACAAAATTACGATAAAAGTTGAATTTTAATAGAAAACTTGCATAGTAACAATAAATTAAAAAAATTGATAGCGAATTTTTCTGGAAAAATCACTATTTCATTAGAATTACAACGAATGAATTAACAGTTTTTCTAGTTTTACATACTAAAACAATGTTTTGAATCTACGTTCACCGACTTCGTATAAAACTTAATAGAAAAAAAAAAACAGTATTTCCAGTATCAAGATGTAACTCTCTGACTTTGATAAACCTTGGAACGTGAACTCGTAAAATTATAATTTATCTGAAAGATACTTGTTATCAGCAGCTACTATCTGACCCCCTGAACAAATTCGTTCTTCGCTTGTACTTAGTTAATTAAATTGATTAATGTTGGCACAGTTGTTTTACTTTGCTTATAATTTTATTTGTTGATACGTCATGTAGATTAAATTAATGATTTGAATACAAGACAGCCAGTTTTCTTTCTTTTTAGGGTTCCGTACCTCCAAAGGAAAAAACGGAACCCTTATTACCCGAATTATCCATTTATAGGGCTTAAAATAAGAATGACCATTAATTTAAAAACAAAAGTCTGTAAAGAGAATTAAATTGAAATCTAAAATGTTACTGATAAATTATTTCGGAAGATAAACTGGAAAAACCTCAGCAACTATTGAACATCGCAATGTAAAGTCAACTAAAATGCGAGTTGAAGTACCCTAAAGACATTTTCTTTTTAAATAAACACTGTCAATTGTTTTTTGTAGAATGTAAAATAAAAAGTGAAGATCTTTATTTCTTTTGTTGACACGATTGGGGTCGAATAGTCAACCGACACTTCCCAACTTTTTCAACAATGGGAATAATGCTATGGTAAATAAAACTATGTACACAACAAATACATAAATCTCAGTAAATACACGTATACCGACTAACGTCAAATACAAACTGTGCTATTTGTTTAGGTTTTCATACCATTTGCGTCATTACGTACTTAGTTTAAGAAAGGATGAGCAAAATCACGCAAAAAATTGTTTGGTGCACGTTAGAATAGCTTCTTAAATCAAGTGGTATAACTACTGAGGTCATGACCAGTGTCAGACTTAATGTGTCATGTCTGACTTGTTTCTATCAAAAAAGTGTGTATTGTACGTCTTAAATAATTATGTAAATAAAAAGGCTTGATGTGCCCGTCGTTACTCGTAATTATATCGTTGGAACACCTGCAATGTTCTATAGTTAACTAAGATAATTTTTAATAAAATCATATACCTACTTTTAAAATATTGATTAAAAATGTAATGTAGAGTGTATCCGGAAAATTTTGGAAGATGAGGATGAAAAATCGATGTCAGCGGCATCAAGGAATTTATTGAAAAGAAAATGGTGTACATCTTTTTTAAAAAAAGTAACGTATTTGGACAACAAGATATTAATTAAATTGTAAGATTATTATTTTTGTGACACAGTAAACTAATAATATTTCAAATTTTTATTCATTATTTATCTTTCATAGTCAAAAATGCAGTATCATGGTATCATGAAGTAAATTAAGTAGCATAATTACGGTAAAAAAGATAAAACTGAGCAGTTTTTTGTCTCAAATTTTCTTTATACAGCGCCCTTTGTGAAAAAGAGGATTTTCCTTTTTCATTAAAGGTGTTCGCTTCGAAATAAATGAAAGCAGAAATCGCATGAAAGACTTTGAAAGCAATAGGCAGCTTGTGTGATAATCGAAGTATTTAAGCAAGAATGATTAATGATATTGTATAGTAAATAGTAGGAATTTTTTTAATAATTTTTACGTGGAAGTTTTTACACTGAAATGTCTTTTTCCGCGTTGGAAAACTTTTATGAAAGAAATCGGCAATTTTCCTGAAAGATGCGACATGATCTTTTCCTGTTAAGTTTTTCAATTAAATTGTGGTTCTTATTTTCCTTCGTAAAAATTTAAATAAGTTTAAATTTAAAGTGAAAAAAAAACGAGTCCTTTATTGAAGAACGTAATTTTCATAAATGGGTTAATGATGAATTTATTTTATTTTATTTTACAAAATGCGTGATAACATACCCTTCTAATCGATTTTAAATATGCTTCCGGCAGTCAACATTGTCCTTAGACAAATACTTATATTCAAATATGTATGTAAACATAAATTATCTTTTAATTCAAGGCTCTTACACTGTCGCGCAGTTATAAACTTTTTTAACATCGCAATTAGATAAAAATAAAAATAATAGTTAAATAGGTACTTACATTGCAGGTGAAAAACTAAAGATGGAAGGGTCCAAAGATGAAATAGAAAAACCATCAAACTTAAAACACTTAATTTGTTTCTATAAATTCACTTATAATCAATTAAATCTTTGCCACACCACTTTATCAGTAAAAAAAATTGACGCACTGCGATAAGGTAACAAGTACAGTTTTGGTACTTCACTTCACGGCACTGCGAATCTTTTCAATTTTATCTTTCGATTTTTTTCGGTGCGCGTAATATGTAAGCGGGGAACGCGCGACGTCCTTCCAACGTCATGCCCGCGACACTACTGGCGCTACTCTAGTTCGTAACTCGCCGCGGACGTCGCACCTGTATTCGAAATTCGAATTTTGATATTTTCGGCCAGTTATCAGATTATACCGATTAATTATATCTAGCGGGTTCGGATTTGACAATCGATAAATGCGGCTCTCGATTTGGACGTGGACATTGGAAAAAAGAAAATCTTTGTGTACGATCGCCTGAATATTGTTGTTTTTTTTTAGTTCTATGCAGCTATAGTTTGGGTATTCGAGAACGCTAAAAATTTTGTAACTTTGTGTTAAATAATGTTATGAGCGATTCGCAGTAATAATAGAATTAAGGACTATTTAAACACATTTAACGTTTTTACCAAATTAATAAAATATTGTCAATCCTGAAAAAAAAATCTTTAAAAACAAGTTTTTTTATGATCATGTTTACAATAGACTGGTGACGTCATAAGTCTCTATTGCTGAAAAAACTCACACAAGATACGTCACCGATCTTTATTGCAGAAAAAAAACCTTTGGAAAAATTGTGGTTTGACATCTCATAAAAAGATTTTCGATTGATTTTATTGGTGTAAAATATCAACTATGTACAATGATCTACAAAAGCATTTCATTAAGTTTTTTTTTTTCAAAAATTTCGGTATTCATGACGTAGTTTTATGTTTAAAATTAAAAACATGACAACTTTGGGAATTCTGAATGTTGTTTACTGTTTGTCCTCACTAACATCGGGTCGTACGGACGACAGAACGTCAAGGTAAACACTGGAATCTCAAGCACTTGTAATACGGTTAATTTTACAAAAAAATATATTTAATAACGACAAGTATAGACGCATGTGTTGGCGACTGTTCCAATGGAAATCTAAATAAGTAAATATTAATGTTAGTTCTTACAGTGTTTTGCTGTTTTGAAGTGTGTATGCGGTCAAAATATGAGTTTCTTTGAAATTATTTTGACGTTTAAATAAGAAATAGAGAAAATCGGGTTTTTCCGCCAGAACTTAATAAATTAACAAAAGTAGAGGTAGAGGTGAAGTGTCTGTTCGTTTTGGAACATTACCAAGGGAAAACGAGTCTAATCGATTGTATCAATCTTCATTAGGATCTCTGCAGGAGTGGATGAAGAGGTCGCCGTGCTTAATTTATTAGACGCTTGTCTTTGGACGCGGCTTTGCCTGTGTTTGTTTTAAGTTATTCCTGCCGCCACTTTTCGCCACCGATCTACCCGACAGTACTTCCACCCCCATCACTTAGATGGTTGGCAGTCCACAACAGTACGTTTCTCTAGAAACTTCCTGCCCCGTACAACCAAACTGTGGAATGGACTGTCGTCTGCGGTGTTTCCGGACGGATACGACCTGCAAGCTTTCAAGAGGAGAGCGTATCTTCACCTTAAAGGCCGGCAACGCACCTGTAACGCCCCTGGGTCTGCGGGTGTCTATGGGCGACGGTAATCACTTACCATCAGGTGATCCATCTGCTCGTTTCTGTTACTCTGTTCTAAATCTGTAGGTGCTTACTGTGATTTTGGGGCGCATTACCTCATTCTGTATTATACGCGGATTCACCCGCGTGAAATTTAGTTTGTCACTGATCGTCATAAATTATAGCCTATGTTATTCTGGGTTATAAACAATAATACTGTAAAGTTTCATCAAAATCCGTTCAGTAGTTTTTGTGTGAAAGAGTAACAAACATGTTAACATCCAGACATCCATGCAAACTTTCGCATTTATAATATTATATTAGTAAGATTCTATACGTAATAAAAATAGCATACTAGTTGAGCATGTTGGAAACTGAAGAAAAATCTTAATTATAGAGATTTTTAATAAGCTTTGATTTTCTTTTGCATTCTGCGTACGCGATTATCTGTATAAATTAACATAAAAGGTAGGTATAATTATTTTAAAATTATGGAAATTCTACGATAGTAATAAATTCTAATGAAGATTCAAGGAATTTATTAAAGTTGTAATTAGATCTAAATTCTTATTAAAACAAAACTTAAGATAATTTTCTGACACAAGTCGTTTAAAATTAAATTATCTCACTATACGAACAATTTCCCTGTTTTTTCAGAATTTTGGCAAGCTTCCAAGAATTCCTGAAAAATACATAACTTTTTAAGTTATAAAATCAAGTTTGCATTAATATTAAAAGACGAGACTGTTCTCTTTTAAATAATAATATGCAAATTAAGTAAAAAAAATAGTAATAATATTGAGCAAAAACAGTTCGTCTGCGAATATTTTCGTAGCTAAAGTAAGTACTTCTAAAATTCACAACTGACCTAGTTTTGTAATCTGGATTCTTTCAGTGAAAGAACGCTTCAGTTCTCGAATTTCATAGTTCGTTTTTTATTTTGGGAACACAACAATGCTCGTTGAATATGCATATTGTTTTTGACGACTGAAAATATCTAGTTTTCAGCAGGTTAGCATATCTATACGTTACGTACGGACAAAATCCGCGGGCGACGAACTAGCAGTGAACGTTCTGTGAACGAAAGAACAATGTTCGGTTCGCGAGCGAATATCATCGAACAGCAATCTTGAACAGTTACTTCAATGACTTTGAATTAAACGGTCTATCATTGTAATTACCAAAGTAAATATTTTAAATTCGCCACAAGTCTATCGAAGCAATAATATATTTTGTCAACATTTCACCTGCCAGCACTATACTTATATCATCTTTGATTTAAATATGAATGGTTTCATCATCATCATCATCATCATTTTAAGTCACTGGCAGTCCACCGTTGGATATAAGCGTTCCTGAAGAAAGGTCATAGAATACGACTTTTTTAAGCTCTAGGCTTTAATCTCACCTGATAGAAAGTGATGATCAGGCCGAAGGATGAAACGAGCTTCCTGGAATCGTCAACCACAGAGGAACTAGCTATCTTACTTCTATCTAACTAACGAAACATAATACTATATTGTTACAGTCAATAGCTTCATCATCATCATCATCATTTTCAGCCATAGCCACGTCCACTGCTGAACGTAGGCCTCCCCCAATGATTACAAAATGGCCGGTTGGTGGCGGCCTGCATCCAGCGCCTTCCCGCTACCTTATGAGGTATTAGTCAATAGCTTACGGATTATAAAACCAAAACTGTAACCTAATACATGCGAGTAAAGTCATGGGTATAAACTAGACATTCATATTTAGATAGGGTTATAACCTTCACCCTGAATAAAACTTTTGAAAAAAAACTTCCTCGAAATAATGTCATTATTCAAACCATCTAACCTTAATGTTTACTTAAGCATGTTTTAATGCGTTTTTTAATAAAGTCCCCACAATCCATTTTTCATGTTCCATACTCCATCAATCTAGCGTCGGTAATAAAATGTTGATTTCCACGTGATAATAGCTGCAGATCAGGGATGGCGAACCAATGGCACACGTTACAATATTTAGGGCACACCATTAATCGCAAAATTCATCTTCTAAATATAATATAACTCAAAGGTGACTGACTGACTGACTGACTGACTGACTGACTGACAGACTGACTGACTGACTGACTGACTGACTGACTGACTGACTGACTACATAGTGATCTATCAACGCACAGCCCAAACCACTGGACGGATGGGGCTGAAATTTGGCATGCAGGTAGATGTTATGACGTAGGCATCCGATAAGAAAGGATTCACATGTACGAAGTCGCGGGCGGCCGCTAGTATAATATAAAATAGTTAAGTGCAACCTAGGTCCCTAAACTATAACAAACTTCAAAAATCTGACAAAATGCGAGTACATACAAAAAACACCGGTCATTGTTATAGACACGGTTAAAGTAAGTTGGTGTAACTCAGCCTAAGTTATTTATTTTGAATAAGGGCTATCGTATTTGCCTTCATCAGTTAGTGCCACTTTAGAGTAAGGTCATACTGCTGTCAATCGCCAGTGGCGCCACTTGAAATATTTCCTCTCATTGATGGCATTAGGTGATATTTGATGGTACGACTCATCATCATCATCATCATTTCAGCCATAGGACGTCCATTGCTGAACATATCGAGCCTTTACCGCCATTTTAGCGCAACCGACAAAAACCAAATTTTACAGGAGAAGGTTTTTTTTAAATATTTTTAATCAGAAGTGTGCTAATAACAAGAAAAATGACATACGTTAATGATTTTTAGAGATTTAAATATATGACTGAAAATAAAACAAAAATAATGAGTATTTATGCCATTTATGGCGCATACAATATTTTTGCTGTCACAGTCTATAGATATTCGGGCGTTTACGATAACATTACCTATCAAAATTACTATGTCCAAGAAATTATAATTGTTAAATAAATAGGCATTTTAAAAGGTTTTTAAATGAAATATCCACATAATAATCAAAAAATATTTATTCATGAGAAATTTCTTCTTGTACAAATCAATTAACACCACTTATTCAACCACTTATTGCATCTAGAGATTGCAAATATTCAATTGTTTTCTATTTCGAATATTCGAAAAATTTTTCAGTGATATTCGAATATTATTCGAATACTTTCAAAAAATAAAAAGCACTTAAAATATCAATGTTTTTATTGCTGGTTTTATTGCTTTAAGAACTATGTTTTAACTATTTAACAATAAAGTTCTTAAAACAGTTAAAAAATTCTCATCATCATCATAATTTCAGCCATAGGACTTCCACTGCTGAACATAGGCCTCCCCCAATGACTTTCACAATGACCGGTTGGCACCGGCCTGTATCCAGCGCTTTACCTTTTTCTCAAAATTTGATCTTCCTAGCCGAATCGTTTGTCAGAGGTAAACATACTTGTCAACAGTCAACAGTCTCGAGAATCGAGTTCTAACCGAAACATGGACGTTGGACAAGCTTCGTTTTGTCCATTATCATCCAAAGGTCTACCTGTTGGGAGACTCGATTAAAGTGTTCGAGCATTGTGCCAAGGTCTTCAAGCAATTCTGCCATGACCACAATATCGTCAGCAAACCGCAGCTGAGTGATGTATTTGCCATT